GGGGACTTGGTGGAACGTCGACGTGGCTTCTCTTTCTTTGCCCGTCGTCGTTCCCCGTCTCTTGCCCTATTGCTGTAAAGCCTGGGTGCCTGTGTGTGTGTTCGTGAATAGTTAGGACTGACTTCTGCCCAGAGTCACCGCCCTCTTGTCTGTGTGACAGTTATATGTATTTGGGGTCCTGTTTCACTTCAGGTTACACCGCCCCCGCTCAAGCCCTCGCTGTTCTCCGCCTTTCTTCGCCGTTACACGCCGTTCTTATGTCCTGCTAGCTCATAGCTGAGACTGCCGCCGTTCTCCCCCCCCGTCGCCGCCGCCAGTGAAGAGGAACACCACCTCTTACACACTGCTGGGGAGACCAACTTATATCTCCACACCGATGCTAGCAACTCGGGGATAGGGGCCTGGTTAGGCAGTGGCAAAACTGCGGACGAAGCTGCTCCCATTGCATACGACTCTCGTGCTCTTTTGCCGGCTGAGAAGAACTACCCGGTTCACGAGAAGGAGCTTCTTGCCATCGTACATGCTCTTAAGCTATGGTGCCCACTTGTTCTTGGTCTTCCTATTCAAGTCATGACGGATCACGCTACGCTTCGGTGGTTTTTCGAGCAACCCAATTTGTCTGAAAGGCAGAAGCGATGGCTACTTGTCTTTGCGGATTACGACCTTCGTATCTCTCATATTCCGGGCGCTTCCAATGTCATTGCCGACGCTCTCTCTCGTCTACATTCCGACGCGGAGGAGTCCCTCAACGCCCTCTCCCTCATTACGACTACCGTCAACCACGAATTTTTGGAGCGTATGGTGAGTGGGTACAAGGGAGATGGCATCATGGAGCGATGGTTGAATGAAGAGGAGCGTCCCCCGGGGGTTGTTATGGTTAAGGTGGTTGGAAAGAAAGGGAAGATGGTGGAGTTATTGAAGTGGGAAGAACGAATATGTGTGCCGGAGAGTGAGGGATTGCGCGAGGAATGTTTGAAGGAGTGTCATGATGCGGTGGGACATTTTGGAGTGGAGAAAACGATGGAGACGATTATGGAGAGGTACTTTTGGCCTCAGACGAAGAAGGATGTCAGAGAATACGTCCAATCGTGTCACCCCTGTCAAACCGCCAAGTCCTCAACAGTCAAACCCGCCGGCCTACTTCATTCTTGTAAGGTCTGTGCATGCAGACCTTCACTGAGTCGACGGTGTGCTTGTCTCGAGAAGCAAGCAAGACCCCTTGTGCATGTGTCTGGACCGAGTCCGTCAATATATGTACGAAAGGGAAACCAAAGACGAGAAGCGGACAAGGGACTGGGAGGTGTGGGACAAGTGGAAAGAAGGATGGAATAAAGACCCAAAGGTTCCCACGCGCCCGATGTCCCTGTCCCTGAGCAAGAGCAGTCGCGAACCACAAAGACAATACACCGAAACACCAAAGGTGGCAAGGAAAATAGAACGGGAGCAGAAAAGGGAAAGTGGCGCAGTGAGCGTCAGCGATAGCCAAGTCGCGAGCAAGAATGGATAAGTCGCGAAAGGCGGTGATCGCCGAAACACGGCTGAAAATGGTTAAGTCATGAGCAGTGCCCACTGCTTACAATTCTCTACCCGTCCCATGGTCTAAATTCGCAGATATCGCTATCGATTTTGTTGGTCCCCTCCCTTCCAATAACAGTTATGACTACCTCATGGTCATTACCGATCGTCTTACTGGCTGGGTTGTGCTTATCCCCACGGTTACTATGGTCACTTCCTCCGCCGCTGCTCAGCTATATTTTGATCATTGGATCTCCAAATTTGGGTTTCCTCGCTCTATCGTCTCCGATCGAGATAAACTGTTTACGGCTGCTTACTGGACCCGTCTCCACGAGCTTTGCGGCACAAAATTGAAGATGTCTACTGCCTATCACCCCCAGACCGATGGTGCTTCCGAACGAGCCAACAAAACCATGATCCAGACTTTGCGTGTGTATACCAACCACCAAGGCAATCGATGGGCCAGCGATCTTCAGCGAGTAGCGTTTGCTTTGAACAATTCTGTTCGTCCTACCTCCAAGACTTCGGCGGCTCAGTTGGTTTACGGCAAGCGGTTATCTCTCTTACCGCCCATTCAGACGGAGGAGGATGAGGAGAAATGGCGAGAATACGGAGTTGTCCAGCCGAGTCAGGAGGAATGGCAGTTGGCGGCGCAGAGGATGGAGTTGGAAGAGAAAATGGCTAGGGATGCGTTGTTGATGGCGAAGAATTCCCAGGCTATCCAGGCGAATCGACACAGACGGCCAGAGGTCGTATACAAGGTTGGCGACTTGGTTTACCTTAACACCAAAGATTTTTGACACGAGTATAAAACCACGTCGCCTCGAAATTC